GGCCCGGCTCGCATGCGAGTCACGTCCGCCCCCTCGCCGCGGCCGCCCCGAGACGCCGGCCCCGCCGAGTGATGAGAACAGACGTCAAACTGCCTTATGAATATTGATGCGGAGGCTAGGCTGCTTTCGTAGAGAAGCAGAAGGAAGCAAGATGGCTGCCCTTTAGGATTTGTTAGAAAGGAGACCCGACTGCAACTGCTGGATTGCTGCAAGGCTGAGGGACGAGAACGAGGTCAGAGCGCTTCTCTTATGCCGCGGAACTCCCCCTTTCCTCTCCCCTTCGCTTTCTCTCGGGCTTGCGGGGACTGGGGAGCAAAGCCTGCAGTGTCACCCACAAATACCAAGAGGGAAGAGGGAAGCTTCACAAATTACTGGAGCCTCTTCAACATGGCTGACAAATATAGTTTTAATTTCTCCCCCCCCCCAACTTTAAACCTGTAGTTCTGTGTTCGCTTCTCTCTCCCGCTAATGCTCGTGTCTTCCTCACCCAGAAAACTTACCTTTGTGAGTCCGGCCGACCGCTTTCCCGGCCTTTTATCCCCAGGAAAGTGATTTTTCTCTGCTTTCCTTTCTAAAATAGTTCAGCTTTGGGGGGCAAGACTTTTCCCTTGAATCTTCCCCACCCCCTCTTCCTTCGTGGAAGGCGAACGAGCCTCTGGTCTGTCCTCACCCACCCCGGAAAGAACACTGACGGAGTGGTTGGTTTTCGACCCTTTTCTCCGCTGGGGGTCTGGGTTTGGGTGTGCGTTTGCGTCCGCCCCTTTCTGCCCCGTGCCCCCTTTCCCGGGGGTGCGCTCCGCGAGTGTCACGCCGAGTGGAACTGGAGTCCACTCACTGGGGTTTTGTTTTTCCTGAAGTCCGCGCGTTTTGTTAGTGGTGCTGAGCGAGAGAGGAAAGAATAGTTTCTCTGGTTCCCCCAACAAGACCCGAACCCACTTTTCTCCAGGTACATCAGCTCTGCCATGGGCTGGCTGTACCTTCCAGCCTGGGGAATGCGTGTAGGAGAATTTGTGGGCAAGTCTGTGTCCTGGCTTTGTGCGTCTCCCGAATCAGCTTCGTCGGGTTCCCCGGTAAGTGACAGGCAGACACAAAGGCAGGCGCAGGCCGGGGGAGGGGGCGGGCGGGAGGAGGGGGAGCGTGGAGAGTTGGAAGACTGCAAGGTCAGGGGCGCCCAGAGAAATGAAACCCAATCCCAGCGAAGAAACGGAGAAGTAGAGAGCAGATTTCTAACAGTCCCTTCCCAATTTCTCTTCTCTCTTGGCTCTTCTCTTTTCTTGGGTCTTTCATCTCTCTGCCGTTCTGTGTGTCCCTTTTCTCCTGGTCTTCCGCCGCGTTCTTCACACACACACTGGAGTCTTGCTGAATGTTTTTCATTGAGACTGCTTGTCTAGTGATAATTAAGCTAACAGTTTCTATGGAGAGTTTTCTACCTATGACAAAATAAAGTATGGGCTGGGTAGACTTCTGGGAAGGTCGAATGTGAAATATGAGTGAAATTTACTGGGGGTTGCCCTCATGAAAGACTTTTAATTGCATTGAGTGAGTTCCCCCGGCCCCCCACCCCCTTCGTGGATGTTTAGGAATTGAAGAAGGGTCATTTTCCAGTTGCTTGCTTAAATTTATTGAGTTATTTTTATACTTGTCACGTCCTAAATTTAAAATCTCAACTCACATTGTGCTTTTCTCTCTCCAATCAGGGATAATAATGGCAAATCCAGATCCAAAAATATTCGCCAATAAATGGTCCAACATAAGAGTAAGATAGTATCTTAGGGGTAGTTGTAATGTACATAGAAAAGATACTGGGTTGGGTTTGGTTTAAGACTGGGGGTATTGTTGCCTGGCTAATGAAATCATTATATTTGCATTTTAATGAAAAGTTGAAGTACTGGAGGGGAATTATAGCCTTTTCCCTGTTTACATGTGTCTTTCATAATGGGTTTAAAGTAGAATATAAATTTCAACACAATACATACTGATTTTTTAAATATTATTAAGCAGAGAAGTATTAGTGGAGGATTGGAAAGTCAAACTTAAGTTTTGAAGGCATGTGTGTGACTAAGAGATGGGCAGAGGGGAAAGCACAATAATGGACATTACTCCATAAATCAGAATTCCAAAACTGCTTGTTCTGTGTTCACTCTGTAACTTTCTATTTTGATCTCTGGGAAAGCAGTTACATTTACTTTAATTATTGATACTAAAGGTTATTTCACATGATTACAAGGGAGACATATTACTCTTCTCTATGGAATAGAAACAGCTCATTTGGTTAGTTTTTATTTGTCCTAAAATAATAAAGAAAATAAGAGCTTGGCATTAATGCTTACTGTTTGTTGACAAAACTATGATTAATTATTCTAGCAATTCAAAATTTAAAATAATTCCTTTTGCTTGCGGTAGTAGCTAACTTTTGGGGGGAAACTTTTCAAATGTTGTATATACAACTGTTTTCAGGCTATTCAACTAATAATAGGTATAATATTTCCTACTCACATTGATAAATAAGAACACTACATTGTTTAAAAATTTTGATTGTGACCATGAAAGCTTGTTCTTTTCTGTCATTTAATTTAGACTTGTTTTATGCATTCTGTTTGTATTCTGAAAATAGTTGCTGATTAATATTGTATGAGTGGCTTCAATGATTATAAGCAGGAGATGTGCATATTATTCACCAATCTGAGTAAGCACCACTTTCTCCTTTATTAGAAAAGAAATTATTTGAATCATTATGAAATAGTTTACAATAAAAAATATCACCTTAGCTCTTCATTTACCATGTTTGTGATAGTAGTACCTGGATTCTCCAAAAACTTCAGGGCTTGAACTGTCTTGGGTAATTGAATTTTTAGGGGAGTGAGTGACAGTGGACAATAACTGGACAGTATTTCTTGGACTACAATATTGTTTTGCTTATTTTCTTACTGAACTGATGGCTAGTGAGAAGTGAACTTGGAATGAGGGAAGTCTCTTGACTGTTTAAATTCACATGTTTAACAAACTCTTCTTAAGGCTCTAATTAGATCTGGCATTGTGCTGGTCCATGCCAGGATCCAGAAGGATTGATACGATTTTTGATTCAATGGCATTTGGACTTACTTTGGCAGGTCAACATCACTTCCAGAGCAAGTGAAATGCACCTGTCCGGGAGTTATTATGACAGACTTCCCAAGTCCTGTTTGGGCACTGGGCTTGTATTGGGTAACAAAGACTGGAGTTAATGTTTTGGTTTCACTTGTTGGAGTTAAAATGTCTCTATCAATTTCCCCTAGGCTCCACCCATACACAGTGTTGTAAGTCACATGTCACTATTGAAGTGTATTTCCTTATTTGCTGATCTCATTAAGAAGTTCTTCTTATGATTCACAGACACACCTGGCAGAAACTCTATTTTTCATTCTACCCCAAATCCAAGTTAGTAAACTTTTATGAATTCTTAAGAAATGACCTTGAAATAAAACGTTCTCAAAAGCTGTGGATGTTTGACATCTAGGATGTCTAATACTTAGAAAATGTTAGATGTGCTTTTTTATGCTCTAATTGCTTCCACTGCAAGTTCAGTTGTTGTCCTTGTTGATGTTGCTGTTGTTTAGTAGAATTTAATAGTCTTACTGAGCTGTCTGAAATTACGAGAGGGAGTCTTCTTTGTTTCGTTAACAAGCATGTAGACTGTTCTACTGTAATTGTTTCCTGTCATGGGGACAGGTTAAAACTTTGGACCAGCTAACTGTCAGTGTTGGTTCACTGAAATAACATTTTCTGCACTATGATGACACCATTGCACAGTTGTCCTTAAGAGGAGTAGTGGCACCGAAGCCAGTAGCAGGAAGACATCTCACAAGCCAGCTTTACAATTGGAGTCTAAACTGTGGGAGAGTCGGGATGCCAAGTAGAGCTGGTGGTTATCTTAGACACTGTGCTGAAAAACACAGCCACAAATGATTTTGCCAAATATACAGTATTTACTTGGTCTAAATCTCCAATTTCTATTTTTGGGTCACTGCCAAAACTCCGTGAGTACTGTGACACCATTTAAGGAGGTTATATAGTGCATCTGCTGGTTTGGTATGTAGTAGGAGAGAAGAGTTCTGGAAGAGGAGAGGGTAGAGCAGGAGACCTTGAATCACTGTGACTGCAAGCCAAGAAGACTTGTATATATCTGCTTATTTCCAGCAGCATTTTGACCCTAGGTTGTACATTGCAGAAAATCTCTGATGTAAGGTAGATATATAATCTTTTCTCAGTAAAATGAATTTTGGTTGCCCATTCCAAAACAAAGTCCTATCAGCTTTGGCTTACGCTTTCTCCATTTGTCAGGACATGCAGTTAAATGTGCCAGGCTTTAAGAAGTATAAATAGATAGTAAGTGGATTTTCAATATTTTGTGTAAAAATTTCAGTGATAATGTCAACCTACCTGCAGTTTTAAGAATTTGGATATTTCATGCTTAGTAAGGGTTGTTCCTCAAACTGAGTTGAAATCAAGCTCCAAATCTGAGAATTAAGTAAGATAAGTAAATTGGGATGAGGTGTTTTTGAAGGATATTTTAAGACATAAAATAAACTGGTTTATTCACTAAAAATACTATAAATGTTTCTTTTGAATTAGATTTATGTCTGTTGAAAGGAAGGTACTGATTTCTATGTCCTTTCAGTCTAATAGAATCTAGTGTACTATTCAGTCAAGATTTACTAAACTGGAGGTCCAGGGTGGAGGTAAAAGTGGTCAAAGGGTACAAACTTCCAGTTATAAAAAGCGTGAGTTCTGGGTTGTAATGCATAGCAGGGTGACTATAATTAGCAATACTGTGTTATATATTTGAAAGTTGCTAAGAGTATTTTCACCACACACACGAAGTCATAACTCTATGAGGTCATGGATGTAACTAACCTTATTGTAGTAATAATATCCCAATATATAGCTATAACAAATCATCACATTGTATGCCTTAAATTTACACAATGTTATAACTTAATTACTCTCAATAAGAGTACGGGGCAGTTTGCCTTAATGAATGACGTAGAAGTAGAAAAAAAGTCATTAAATTAGAAAATGTGTAATCTATTCTCAGTGCATCAGAGAAAAATAATGTAAACAGTTGGTGCTAGCGATGATGGTAGTAAGGATGGTGCTTTTTCCTTAAATGTAACTTCTACTGGCTACAGCAGTTGTCCCATAAAAGCGATCTGTTGTAAGCATACAGTTTAATGATTTTTAATAAGTTTATAT